GCGATGTTCTGTTGGGCCGTGAACATGAGATATTCAGTGATAACTTTCAAGTAGTCGCGATTTTCCTTCACATATTGTTTGTGTAATTCCTCGAGTCTGCTCAGTATTGAAGTATTTTTCTTTTTTTTTTTTTGCTCTGCTATCAGTCCATTTCGCTATGGCCGTTTGATGGTTCTGACTCTTGTGGTGTTTAGTGAGACGCTCTATCTTCTTCAGATTGTCAAACGTGAAATCGTGGACATTTAAGTATTTCTGGCATGTGTAACAGCACGCTGTATTTGTTTCACAGTTGTAGCTCAGCCATAGATAACGTTTGTACCACGCTGGATTGAAATCTCTTGAAAAAGATTCATTGCCGAAAATTTTGGTCGTAGCACTTCAAGATAGGTTGCTGAGGGCCCTCGTCTATATCACCGGACTTTTGGCAAGTACCACTATATAGATTTGTGTCCAAGGAAGAATATCTTATCCGAATTACCTTTAGCCATGATTTCTGACTCATCTGTTACATCGACATCCATAAATTCTGACGTAGCCGGAGCACGCCGAACACCATTATTCACTTAAATCATCTCGATATCTGACTTATCTGGAGCAGTATCTAATGAATCCACTAGATCTGTATTGTTGTCATTCTGAAGATCTGAACCAACGTCTTCGGCGTCGATTTTACTGAATTTAAGCATATTTATTGTTTCATCGCCGCCGGTGAAACCTAGTTGCGATTGATTTGGCGCACGAGAAACAGTAAATTTAACTCTTTTGCCTATATGCTTGGTTCTTGCATGAGCGTCTTGGTACTCAGCAGCGATGTCTTTTTTACATTCGGAACAGGTAACGCGATGACGATAGGCTCGCTTACGTTTTTGTGGAGCTGGACTCGACACGTCTATTATGGCTTAAAGGCGAGTTTTACACAAAAAACAAAATTATGTAAGGTGCGTATTTGTTTCCACTGCCGCGTAAATTTTTTAAAAACTACGGGCGTGAACCAGTTAAATTCACACGAGACAGTGGTTGCCGAGCACGTGACCCAGATCTTCTGAGGGTCACCAGTGGATAATGTACAATATGATTGTAGAGAGTTATGCCAAAATTGACTCTAATTAATTCACGACTGGAAATTCACTACACTAACTAGTGCAGTGCAGCACAGTGCCCAACTACAACAAAATTACAAATATGTATATCAACATATGATCCCCTTGAAAAATAGCCAGAAAGTGATCACGTGCTGGGTAACCACTGTCTCAAGTGAATTTAACTGGCTTTACAACCTAGGTTCGATTACCAGCCGCTGTTCGGGAAAATGAGCCCGCACTCATCTCCCCCGAAGGGGAAGATCAAGGACCCGGGAGACGGTGGAAATCGAGCCTATTTACAACGCCCACTTCAGGTTGAAACAGAAAATATCTCTTCGAAAAAAAAAACATACACAGACACATGCAAGCTTCTTTAAAAACTAGCTTTCCCAAATTTCTCGTGCTGCCCAAAACATCTGAGTTGCCCAAAATTTGGGGGGGGGGGCTGCAGCCCCTCCCCACCCCCCCGGCCCGTACGCCTATGGTTCTTTGCCATACACTCAGAGATTGTAATATCGTCTACGTACTTCCAGAGTTGCACGCCGGGAACGCTGATATTCCATCCTGTACACAAAATCCTGAAAGCAGTCCATCATAGCCTCCTCCACCTGTCTTCTTGAACTGCCCTTTGGGGAGTACTCTGGTCGGAGCACTAGGCAGTTGGCATGGACTACATGTTGGGATTGTTCCAAGTTCTCTAGTAAACAAAGACTTAAATGGTTCTAGTTCGTTCCTGATGGCGTCTGCAACGCGAAAGGGCTAAGACCATCCATTAATTCTTTCAAGAAAACCACCCTTTTCATCAGAATTCTGATGATAACTGAGTTGATAATTTCCTCCATATGGGCTGCGTCAATTTTTCCCATGTAATCGAAATCAATAATGGTATCATGATGGCTACTCAAGTTTTCTCTGATGGATTTTATCAGTTCCATGTCACTAGCTGTAAGGCGTTTCTGATCCAAGCATTTTATTTTGATATCTCTTCCAATATGGAAAACCTGTCGCCTTTCGTGTCTTCAGCACCATCATTGGGTATGTAAGATATACCCTGGTAATCTTCTGCGTCATAGAGCTATTGTAGATCTGAAACCATTTCTTGATCCAAGGCAATTTGGGCATCGATGACTTTTTTCTCCTGCCGGGGCCTTCAATCTGCTTTACAGGCACTATAAGGCATCTCATTAGAAGCAACGTTTTTGTCAACTTCAAACTCTTCTGAGGAATCACTGCTTTCAAAACGTCCTTGGGATTTTTTAAAATCAAGATCAGCACAAAGAAATAGAGTTATCCTTTTGAAATCCTTTCCAACTTCTTCTTGGTAAAGCCTCAGTGTAAACAGCTCTGTTTGAGAGCCAGGTAGAAAAACAGATTGACCACCATCTTTATACAACAAATGGTAGGTTTACTCCGTGTTGTACAAGTTACGGTGAAAGATCCTCCATCTCTCCTTGGCATCTTTTTGTAAAACAGAATACGTTATCGAAGGCGATATTTTCATGGCCAGCTTCTTTCCTCTTCTAACCTTTAAACCTCATACGTTGTAATCGCACTCCATTATATAGTCCAATGTTGAAAAATGTCTTCTTTTCGCGGATTTTTTCAACCGCACCGGTTTTAGAAACACGGCTTTTCCACTCTTTCCCTATGCTTTTCTTCAATAATTCGAGGCCTACTCTGAACTTCCTCCAGATACAGAGCCGTCCAAAGAAATAAATATTCCCACAATTAAACTATACTGTATGCTTAGCCTGAATTTAAAGGCAGATACTGATTTTGAGCAAAATTACTGCACTTTTATCTCAAAACACAATAAAATGTATGTATGTATGTATGTATGTATGTATGTATGTATGTATGTATGTAAGTATGTATGTATGTATGTATGTGTGTTGTTCCAGGAATGAATTTGGATATTTCCACCGTACTTTTCACGAAAGAAACCGAAGAAATTGGATGACTTCAAGTTGCATTACATCACCTTGTGTCTAGCTAGAAAAAGCATGTCATTTGACTTCAATTTTTCGGTGGAAGAAAGATTTTACAGACGCCATTACAGCAAGCAAACAAGTGACTCTCACAACCTTAAAACATACATTTGAATTTACACACAATTTGACTTTCCTTGGCATTTGAACTGAATCTGAACGGAGGTAATTCTTCGCAGACTAATCCGGCTTCGTTGGAATATGACAACTCTTTCCGTAACTGATCAATGAAGATGAAAAAGTCCGTGAAAGTCATTTACATCGAGTTTACTAGCCCAAACTAGTACTGTTGTTTTTTTTCCAAAGTGTCCGCGGGCTTATTTTTCCCTTAAATCACACTTGTCAGTATGCAGATAAAAATGCTTCAGTGAAGCCCGGCTTTCTTTTTAATTTGCGTTACCTCTGTTTTCTCCACCATGTGCTCGCTCAAAAATTTTTCCGTTTATGGAGGATTTGAGTTACAGCCCTAAGTTATTCGATTTCTTTTTAAAAGCATTTCGTTAAGTTTCACAGAAAAGAAATGAAAATGTTATTCACCATCGTAGGTCGGTCCGTATTAGGAAAACTGTGCCCTCTGTCTTGAGTATCGCCATCGGCCTACAGCTCCGGGCGGTATCCAAGACCTCGGGCACAGTTTTTCCCAATGCGGAGCTCCCATCTGGCGAATATCAGGCTCCTTGACTCTGGGGTTCCGTGAGTTGATTTTGTTTTGCCGTTGGTTAATTTGTTTCGCCACGAGTTAATTTTGTTTTGCCGCGAGCTATTTTTTGTTTTGCCGCGAGCCATTTTTTTTCGCCGTGAGTTTATTTGTTTTGCCGCGAGCTTGTTTTACTTAACGTTATTTTGCCGTGAGATGGATTTGTTTTGCCGCGAGTTACTGAGTTTTGTTTTGCCGTGAGTTGTTTTATTTTGCCGTGAGTTAATTTTGTTTTGCCGCGAGTTAGTTTTGTTTAGCCGCGAGTTAGTTTTTTTTTGCCGTGAGTTGTTTTATTTTGTCGTGAGTTCATATGTTTTGCCGCGAGTTGTTCTATTTCGCCGTGAGTTTAATATGTTTTGCAATGAGTTGGATTTACAGTAAATGGTTTGAGCCCGGGGGCAACATGTGAAAGCGTAGTGCGATCGTCCGGGTGAACGTAGTCTTGAGAAGGACTGTTGTTGGTGGTGGTGACCGACATTTCGACAACCTGTGAGGGAGTCAGAGTGAGGTCAACATCATTTGAGATTTTTTCTTTCGCGATCGCTGGTCTCAGTGAATGATCCACGCGGTATGAATTATTTAGGGACACATCTCTCCTACGCTCGTGGTGTTGGTTGATTTCTTTAAACGTAGAGGATCGCATGCTCCGACGGAAAAGCATGCTTGGTACCCGGGGGGGTACTCGATATATTCCTGGGTGGGGAAGTGCGGCGCGGCCCCTCATACCCTGACCCTGTTTAAGACAAATATCGCTGATTTTCCTACCCTGTTTAAGACAGAATTCCGATTTTTCATACCCTGTTTAAAACATTTAATGTGCCTGGTATCAATGCAAAAATGAACAGAAATCAATATTAATTAAAATTAGAGCTTGTAAAAATTTTGCTCTTTATCTTCCAAGAAAAGATATCCTGTTTAAGACAAAAATTGATAAATCGATACCCTGATTAAGACAAAAAATGATAAATTCGATACCCTGTTTAAGACAAAAATCTCGAAAAACATACCCTGGCTGGCCGCACGTCCCCATTAAGCCCTTATAAGGGAGTACCCCCCCGGGTGAATTAAAATTTAAATTCAGCTAATTCACGTTAATGACCTTTAGACCTCAAAATCACACAAAGTATGCTTGGGCTGCCTGTGGTGGTACGAGTTTTGGGTGCTGGGAATAGCTCAGGCGACAGACAACGGTGGCAAACGATAGTGAATCCTTGAACTTCTTCTTTGTTTTCGTTCTGTTTTTTTTTTTTTATCTCCAGCCTACAACTTCCTACCAAGTTAAAATTAGCGATAGTGTTTTTCAATTTCAAGCCAGTATATGGAAAATGTCTGCTCTAACTTGCAGCAAAGTGTTAATTGGAAGCAAAAGTAAGCGACTCATCAAGTTGATAACGGCAGCCGCTTTGGTGACGGTGTTAATTTCGTTTGTCGCTAACCTTTCAGCCAAGTCGCCTGTCATTCCTCGCAAAGATTGTAACTCTTGGAAAATAAATCAGTCACAACACAAAACCACTTTAATATCCAAGACTGTTTGTTTAAAGAATTATTTCCTTCTCGTTTTGGTATCTTCAGCACCTTCGCATTTTGGAAGAAGGAATTTAATTCGTGAAACTTGGGGAACGGACAAAAACAGCGTTCCTGAATGGAAGACATTTTTCTTAGTTGGGCAAACAAAGAATCAAACTGACTCAGATCTACTTAAGACAGAAAATAACATCCATGGTGACATTATTCGTGCTAATTACTCGGAACACTACTGGAATCAAAGTTTGAAAGTAGAGATGGGATTTGAGTGGGCCGCAAGATACTGCAAATTTTCATACCTTTTGAAGGCAGACGATGATGTTTTGGTGAACACCAACGATTTGATAACTCGTTTACAACGTGCATCGACACCAAAAAATGGTCTTTACCTGGGAAAAATAAACAGAAATGCTGAAGTTCGCCGCTATGGCAAGTTCTCCGTTAATCTCAAGGAATATGCCGGTCCAACTTTTCCAGATTATTGTAGCGGGGGCGGTTTTGTTCTTTCCTATGATGTGGTGGAGTGTATGGTTCCTTCATTTGATGTGATTAATCCATTTCGAATCGACGATGTTTATGTGGGGATATTAGCACATGAATTAGGTTTAATACCAGTTCATCACAGCTGGTTCCTCTTGCCAAATTCTTATTATGATGATTGCTATTTTAGACCTAATGTGCTTGTTCAACATCGGGTACTTGGTCAATGTTTAATTCAGCAGGTACACATGCACTCGTTAGATTTTTATTCTTTCAGGTTAGGGTCATACTATTGATGTTTGAGGGAAAAGAGTTACACAGTGCAACTTGTAGCTTCGACTATTGCCTAAATCGCTTACACAAAATGATTAATCTGATTTCAGAAACAGTAGCAGGGCACTCTAAATTTGGTAAAATAAAACTGTCCCCAGTTTTCAAGTTTCTGTGATCCTGCTTTCCTCGCATTACTTCATAGTTTGAAAAAGCTTGAGACGACCCACATACATTAATAAATTACATAGTCATAGTTCCTGTTCTAAATGTTTTAATGATTACTGTTACCATTAAATTTCTGCTTTATTTCAACTCAGTGTATTATAAGTGGTGTGCTTTGCTTTGAAATCAACAGCCACACAACCTAAAATTTGTAAAAATTCACAGACAAGGTTGACATGCATTTTCCAACCTATCTATCTGTACACCCTAATAACACCGCAAATTTTTACATAACAGCTGCAAATCCAACTTTTTCATTTTCATACTGTACACCTATTTACAAAAATCCAGTAACTGGTATTATACAGTTGACAGTAACAGTATTAAATAGGTCTCTAGAAAACTCTGTTCACATAATCACTTGATAAACATGTCAACTGTGTTTTCCACAAACCCATTTCAGCTGTGGATCACCAGACCAGAGCTCTGTCAGTTGCACAACTGATTTCCATGTACACTGGCAGGCATAAGCACAGCAACCTGTCCAAAAATATCAAGAACATTTCAACAAATGTGGCAACAGAATTGTGTTATACTGGTACCACAAACATTTTGTTACCCTCTAACCTTCTCCCCCTTGCCCACTATGAAATAAACACCTCTAAATCAGACACTCAACAAAATCTTCAGTTGGGAATTTTATTGTCTAAAGAGCAAAAAAAAAAAAACCTTAATGATGGTAGTAATAACAACAATTTAGCACTGGACATACCATGAGGTGGCTCTTCTTGTCTAGTGTTGCTAGTTCTAATTAAAATTTGGAACAGGTTATCGCAGAGGGAAGAAAACCTGAGGACCTGGAGAAAAACTCTTTGAGCAAGGTTGAGAACCAACAACAAACTCAACCCATATGTGTACCTCAACCCAGGTCTAGAAATTAAACACATGCCACAGTGGTGGGTAGGGAGAGCTCTGATCACAAGGCCATCCCTACTCCCTTTCTGTTTTAAATAAAGTCCTTTTGAGATGCTGTAAACAAACTAACCTCTTTTCCTTGTTAGTTTGCTTTTAAGCTTGTCAAAATCTGGTATATTATTTCTGAAGAATAAATAATCACAATCTTTGTGCCACTCGAAGTCATTCAGGATAACCACATTGAAATCACATGATGTACATCGTAGCTTATCACACACTCTAAGTAAAAAAAAAACAACCAATTCACACAGTTGATACAACTAATATTTCTTCCTACTCTAAAATGCCTGTCTTTTTAAATCATGCACATTTCATTGAAGTAAGAACCTAAACCAAAAGTCTCAGCAGTGACAGTGACTGACATTTTGAGAACCTGAGGGGCATGGCATTTAATTGAATGTCAAATGCTACAATTTTTAGGTTGTAGAAATTGTTTATCAATTTCGCAGTGCTCAATACTATTGGCTCTATGAATCAAGGAGTGTTTATCAGGTTTGATTTATTTGCTGAGTTATGTTTGTTGGTTAGAATACTGTTTATATTTCGTTTGTAGCATGGGGGCAACTGTAAAATCTGTAGCAGGAACAGTTTTTACAGTCAGAGTTGGGGTAAAGAAATTTCCTCTCTTGGGAAATATGGGCCAATTTTAAATCTTGAAAGATAAGGGGCAATGTGGCTTGCAAAGCTCTTGGAGAAATTACAGCAGTGACAAATTTTTGTTACCATACATAGCTGGGTAATGACAAATATATCTAAGAGACTTACCTCTCTTCTGATCCAGTGCAGAGTCCTTTTGAAAATTTAGAGCCCCCAAGTAAAACTTTCACACAGCGCTTTCGCGATGAACTCAAATCTGTTGTGTTTGAGTTGTACAAAGATTTTGCAGGCTGTAATAGAAATTAATAAAAATAGAAATATTTAAATGAATTCATTGGTCATTTTGTGCAGTTATTCTTTTCCATGACTTAGCAAGTTGAGACAGGAGACCGTTGACAGTAAGTAATTTAAGAACTCAAAGCAGTCTCTATAAGAGGTAGACAGGAAAAAATCTTTTGAAGCCTTTTCAAACAGACTACCTGATTCAATAACTCATTTCTTTATCAAATACTCTGCTAAGAGCCCATACAAGTCATTCTAATTGCAACATGCAAGTATTCAGTTGTATGGAGTAATATGACAATTAGCTTCCCTGATCTCTATCTCTCTCACTTAACATAAGCCTACATGAAAGATAACCAAAATCCTTCCGGTGAAGCCCATGGAGCGGTTTACAATAAAGTGACAAAAGTAATACAACATGTCTATGGCTTTGCTGGTAGTGGTTGAGAAACTTTATCAACCAATCAGAGGCTACACTTTCTCAATCAAATTTTCCACAATTAAATATTCTCCTTGGTTCTTGATGATATTTGTTGTTTTTATCATTGGTCACTGTGACCACCCCAGATTTCTTTCTGTAACAGGGCTAGGACTGAAGGAAGTCAGGCGATAATGATGATGATAATGACAACAGCACGGATCGTTGTCAGCAGTTTAGAAAGAAAAATCAAAAGAAATTTTGAAAAATAACGTCATTGTTCTTCTTACTTCAATAAACAGCCAACCAGCCTCACGAAAATCATAATACGATTTGTTTTCATCCACGTGACGTACGCATACCCGTTGGCAAGGCAACCAAATTTTCGTTTGCAATTATTGAAAGAAGGCCTAAATTAAAATGTCACGATCCACGCCAAACTCCAACGCTGAGGCGGAACAGTATTTTGATTAGTTCTGGAAATCTAAGGAAATGAATTTTTTATATGTTAGTTTTACCTGTTCCCTTAATTCAGGTATTTCTGGTCCATCATCCATACATTCTCTGATCATATCATGTAGTTCATCTCGATCGGCATTTTTAATTTGTGAACTAAGAAACGAAGTGATCGAGTCATTCATAGCAATTGATTCAAAATAAAAGAGTTATGATAAAAATGTTAAAAGTGGGAAGAATATAAACGCTATACCTTTTCGGTTTTCTATCTTCTTTCCTTGATGTCTTTTCAGTTCCTGAGCTCAAGCTGGAGTTGTGTTTGGTTGTAGTTTTCTGTTTAGGTTTTTTTCCACTTTCGAAAAACTTCGTCTCACATTCGTCTAATAAATCATCGATATCGTCTGCCATGGTAAAATATTCAAAACAAAAACCCTTAATATTAAAACGAAAACTTTCAACCCAACGACAAAATTTTTTTCCTCATAAATGGAGCCTGGGTCATCTCGGCGAGGCACTGGGGAGAATCATCAAGTGCGAACGCACGCTCGTACGAGACCGTTGATTCCCGATGGTTTACGATCATTCACGGACCTGATGAATCATTGATGAAGAGGTTGAGATCAGGGCAAACTAGGCAAATCTCTCCAAGCTTTCCTCCAACTCTCAGTTAATACAGCTTACGAAGATGACTGCTGCTGTTGTCCCGTATGTTGGTTCTATTCTACATATTATACTATTTATTTTTCATAATCTCGTAGAGGAAAAAGATTGTATCGGAAAAACTGCACATAGAAATCTTGTGACGCGATCTGCAAGTGGATCGCTCTTCCGCTTTTCGTGACCTTTTTACGTTCCTACAGATCCTTCACAAATGTAGAATATAAGTACATTGATTGTGCTTCAATTTTCAGTAATCGTGTTTAAAACAAGAGACATTTTGGTAAGATCTGTCCACAAACCCATTGTTCATTAATTATGTATGCATTAATTAATTATTGGGGAAAGGAAACGATAGCGGAAATGGTAGTTTGTCTTGGGTACCTGAACCATGCTTAACCCGAGACCAAACCCCTTTATACGGAATTTTTTCGATATCTGCTCTAAGCCCTGGATATGTTGATATTTCCCAAACTTTGAAACAAGTGACATATCCTGAACACTTCATGATGACTACAGTAACTAATTCATGTATTGGAGTACACAGGTGGGGCGAAGTGGACATGTACTGGACTATACAGGTGGGGTGGGGTGGACTTGCACTGGAGTACATGTCAGGTGGGGTGGAGTGGACATGTACTGGACTATACAGGTGGGGTGGGGTGGACTTGCACTGGAGTACATGTCAGGTGGGGTGGGGTGGACAGGTACTGGAATCAATTCAATAAAACCTATATACTTGTAATTTACAAGTTGGACCATTGTATTTACAAATGCAGGGTAAAATGAGTTTAACAAACATTGTTACAAGTCCAGGTTACAAGTGTCAGACTTGTAATTACAGGAGTAGTGTAACACTTGTTGAATTCAGTAGATATCCATTTCATTAAATGTATTACAACTAAGGAACTTGTTTTTCTGAGACAATTCGACTTGTAAATTACAAGTGCAAATTACAAGTCATAAGTCAATTGTAAAATTTGTATACAAAGGTAAAGATTGTTCAGTATCAAGTAAATCAAGTCGGACTTTACATGTCTAATTTACACTTGTAAAATCTATAAGTGTAAGAGAATTTTTGAGTTGACCCCTGGAGTACACAGGTGGGGTGGGATGGACAAGTACTGGAGTACACAGCTGGGGTGGGGTAGGGTGTGGGCAAATAAGTCATAAATGGACCTTCAGTTATATCATTAGTCCAGTGCCATTGGTCACGAGTTTGCATCATCTATCTCACTCAAGAATCTATTGTAAAATATTCATAGAGATTTCTGAGCCTGATTAATTGGGAAATATTTGGGTGCAATGAAACTTGCTGGCAATTTTCGCTTGCAAAGTCTAAATATAGCAATTGAACTACCGCACTCTACAAAATAACATCATTCAGTTTTTGTAATATCAATTTTCCTTAGAAAAATATGGTTTGACTTTAATTTTTCTAAAAAATGAAAATGATATTTTATTGATTTCCTCTATATGTTAGAGATCATCCAGTAATGATGCAAAAGTATATAATTTATGATATTTATACAAGGAATTAGTTTTTTTATTGAATGTTCTGCTTAGTTTAGTTAAAAAGGATAGCAAAATTTTCAGTCATCTGTTTTAAGTGAGGTGATGAGATTAATTTGATTAAAAAAAAATCTCTAAATTTTTTATACTGAATTTCAGGCAACCTACTTTCCATAGGCTTAATTATATGAAATTTAAGATGTAATCATTAACATTTGTTTGGTTCTTAGGTCCTGCTTTCAGCTTGGAGCACACACACTCTCTATTCCAGTTAGTCTCCACGCAACCAATAGGAAGCGGTTATGTGAGCATCTGAAAAAACTTAAAGGTGTGCCAGCAGGAACAATGGTTTTGCTACAGGGGGGAGAGCAAAGTCAGCGATACTGCACGGATACCGATGTTGTTTTTCGGCAGGTAAATTACTCTTGCAAGGACCTTAAATAGAACCCAGCCTTCTTCAGAGGGAGAATAACTCTGAATTTGATTATTCCCTCAAAGTTGTTTTGTACTTATTTATAGAAAAATATTTGCTTGGGCAGTCCAAAAAAAGCAATTTACATTTTAAAAACTGATAGGTACTTGATAACAAGGTTGACTGAACACACATCCAGAGACCCAAAATGAGGATACCAACAATCACACCACTGAAGATCTTTTCTTTAGGAACCAAACTATTTATTAATGGCCCTTAAAACACATTACTTTCAAATTGAACAAATTTCCCTTTGCTAATATGTGAAACAAATTCAAAACAACCATTTGTAAATGGTACACAGTACATTAGGTATCTCTGACAGCCAATAACAGAGGAAGAAATGAAATCAATGTGCTTTCACCAAGGTAGAGTGGGGTCATGTTTCACATGATAACACATTACAAACAATTGGATATGTGACTGCATGGTTTATGTGTCATAAAATGAAAGAAAAGTCATAGTTCACAGGATCTTAATTTCATATTCAAACAACTCCTTACTTGACTGTGATGTTGACTTCCAGGTTATTGGTTTATTGAGACATTAATCTCTGTCATGGATAACAGAGCTTCTCATAACTGCATGTACCTTTGCTTGAACAATCACATTCCTAAATGAGGGCTGTTTTGCATTTCTAAACATTATTTTGTGGAATTTATTACATGAAATTTTACTTTCAATAATTACAGGTCATGTTAATTCCTTTTTTTAGGAATCCTATTTTCATTGGACCTTTGGTGTTCTAGAAGCTGACTGTTTTGGTGTTGTAGAGGTGGATACAGCTCGTGCAATCTTGTTTTTTCCACGTCTGCCTCCAGAATATGCGATATGGATGGGAAAGTGAGCATCTTAAAGTGATTGTTTGACTAGGACTGGTGACACGAGCCATTTAGTTCTGTATAGTTATGTGTAGAGGACTGCCCAGTTGTTATGATTAACTTTTTGTTGTATTGTGAAAAGAAAGTTTTTTTATTGTATCAGAGGTGGCCTATAATGGCCCATTGTGTTATTTGAAATTTACAGTAGTCTATCAAATAAACTGTGCGTGAATGCCTTTTTTTTTTTTTAGGATTCATAGCCAGGAACACTTTAAGGAAAAGTATGAAGTGGATGAGGTGTATTATACAGATGAGGTCATTGACACATTTCAGAGTAATGTCAAGTTGAGATGATAATGATGATCATTGCTATCATTATTAGTTGTCGTTATTGTTATTATTATGACTACCAATACTCTTCTTCTATTCCTAAATGAGTTAAATATGGAACAAAATAAATTCACAACAATACAGTCTGACTTTTGTCTTTGTCAAAGCTTTGTTTGTTTCATTGTTGCATTTGGTAGCTATAAGTTTCAAAAATGCAATATTTTTTATCTGTAGATAGCTGAAGTACTACAGAAGAAGTCTCCATCTGTTCTCTTGACTCTTGTAAGTAGACTTGCCATTCTATGGGAGTTGTGCTGCTAGCTAATTAATGGTTCAATTCTGCAAAGAAAAGATTTCAAAGGAAAGGAAGTACTCAAACTTAACATTGATTTTATTCCTATTTTGTCAGTGGTTATGTATGTAAGAACTGCTTTTGTAAGAAACATGTGAATATAAATTGATTTGTTTACTCTTTGCAGCGAGGTCTCAACTCAGATTCAGGTCATTACTGCAGAGAAGCAGCATTTGATGGCATTAGCAAGTAAGTTTGATGTTGTTATTGTGTTGTTGTGGGGTCTGGTCTAGCCAGATATAGTTCACTGTGTAATTAACAGTGTGTTACTTAGTTTGCCCTTTTACATGCTAAGCTCAAGGCCAAAACCTGTTAAATTGCACCTATGGATCTAAAAATGTTTTGATATATTGTGTGATTTTTAGTGAAGAGCTCCATAAAGAAAGAGGAGTTGCACTGCAATACCCTCTGTAAGGTGTGACCTGAGTGTTTTTTGTATCAATTCTTCTCTAGGTTTAAAGTGGATAACAAGATTTTGCATCCAGAGATTACTGAATGGTGAGTGATTGTGGATAATGAAGTACATATTTTGCTTGTGTTAGGTTTTCAATAACAAGAATGTAAATTACTGTTTTGTAAACAAGCAAGCCTTTAAGGTCATGCCAAAGGTTTTGTTTTTTCTGTTTGTCTGTTTGTTTTGGGATGTAGTCGTGTTTTCAAGACACCTCAGGAATTAGAAGTGATGCGCTATGTCAACAGGGTCAGCAGTGAGGCACATAAAGAGGTAAAATAACAAGTTATAACATCAATTGACCTTGCTAAGCTTTATATTTTATAAACTTAACTCTTGAGCCAAAACATGCTATATAAATAGCTGTGACTAGATCTCACATAATGTGTGATATTAATGATTGTGGTTCATCTTAGGTAATGAAGCATGTGAGACCTGGGATGACAGAATTTGAAATGGAAAGGTAAATTGAATTTTCAGTTACCTTCTTGTGCATGAAAAAAAGTTACATAAACTTGTGTGCCATAATGAGATTCATAGCCAATAGGGTTTATACTGTAGCTGTAAATTAAGGTACAATATTGAAATGTGGAGTCAGTTAATGATTGAAGTTAATTGTGTATTGCAGCTTGTTCCAGCACTTCTGCTATTCTCTGGGTGGATGTCGGCATATGTCCTACACATGTATTGGAGCAAGGTAACATTTCAATCATTGAAACAAGAGAAAATTTGTTTTGCTTTTAAATTAAAAAATGGTGACTACCACTGCAATCTCATGAAGAGTCACAAATTCAGGGGTATTTTGAATACTGACAACTTTTTCCCTATGGATAATAACAGTGGAGCAATAGCAATATTTTACACTTCCCTGCACAGAGTAAAACTCGCAGTGATTTTACTGTGTCAATAATTCTCTTTCAGTGGTCATAACTGTGCTACTCTTCATTATGGCCATGCAGGAGCACCAAATGACAAAAAGATCCATGATGGAGATATGTGGTGAGTTGAGCATAATTTTAACAAATGAGCAAATCATTTTATTGAAGATTCAAGCAATAATGGGTTGAGAATAAAGAATGAGAACAAAGATATCTGTTTTGGTATGATGTCCCTATTTGGGCAAGTGAATGGTATTCATCTGAAAGGAAGGGTCCCTCTAGGATGACTACTCAGGTGCTTTGTGGGTTGAAAAGTCCTTCACCATCAACTGACTTCACCAAATCTGGTTTTGTACAAGATTGTTCAGTGTAAAGCATATGTAATGCACTGTAATGGCTCCTCTGCTATATATTAATGTAATTTTTTGGCTGTTCAGTGTTATTTAATCTCCTGTTCTCCACTTTACAGCTTGTTTGACATGGGAGGAGAGTACTATTGCTATACATCGGACATCACGTGTTCTTTTCCAGCCAATGGGAAGTTCACAGATGATCAGCGTAATATTTATGAAGCTGTATACAAAGCCAGCCGTGCAGTCATGGCAGCTGTTAAACCTGGTAGGTGCTGTTATCATTGCCTTTCTGTAACTATCTAAGCTCCCAGTCCTGAACGCTTCATTCGATATCTGGGCTGGGTTGTTCAAAAGTAGGTTAAGATAACCCAGGGTTAGTGTGAAATTTGATTTCAGATCTGAAAGCTTTAAAAGAAAGTTCACCTTGATTCCATTTGTCTACAATTTGATGATTAAATGCCTTAAAATGAATTGGGAAAATTATCCCAAAACGGCTTTTTATCAGAGAAATATAGAAACCTGGATTAAGATTTAACCCTTGGTTAGTGCTAATCGGCCTTCGAACAACTGGGCTCAGGAGAATAATCGCTATATCTAGTGGAGCCTTACCACCACGGCCCGTTTGGGGGAAGGGGGGATGGATCTTTGTAGAGAGGAAAGGGTGTAATGGGAAATCGATTTTTTTAGTAAGGGCAAGACGTTTTTTTTTACATGTATCAATGAAGCTGACTAAACCAAACAAGGAAGACTAGTAACAAGCCAAAGCGAGTAAAACACAGTTTTTTTTTGTTTTTGTTTTTTTTTGTGTGTGTGTGTGTGGGTTTAGGGTTAGGGTTAGGGTTAGGGTTAGGGACTACGAACTATGGTCTGTGTGTGTGTGTGTGTGTGTGTGTGTGTGTGTGTTCAAAATTATCTGTGACTGTTGCTAACATTGGGACAAGCATGTTTTGGACCATCCGTTCTTGGGGAAAAGAATTGGTGGTTGTAAGCAAGTGGCTGATAAAGAGAGTTGGTGGTTAATGTAGTTTCAATTCTAGCATTGCATCGTTCAAATACAGATCGTTCATCCTTGACAGGTGTAAAGTGGCCTGATATGCACCGTTTGGCAGAACGTGTCCAGCTGCAGTGTCTTAAAGACATGGGGCTGTTGCAGGGGGACTTGGATGAAATGATGAAGGTTCATCTTGGGGCTGTTTTTATGCCTCATGGACTGGGACATTTTATGGGAATTGATACTCATGATGTTGGGGGATACCCAGAGGTAAAAATCGCCCATTAACATATTGAATTTGATTATTGCGAAATGGTTCAAAGGAGGAAAATTTCCCCAACGTGACTGAAGCTGTACCACATGCTATGTTGCTGCGTATCAGTAGGATTTAATGTCTATCCTCTACTTGGCAAAGAAGGTTGTTGTCTCTTTAGATTTTATGTATTCGTCTCCTTTGTTGTCATTTCTCCTCTATCTGCGTCTTGTCTTCTTTTTCTTTCTGAAGCGGTAGTTATTGTTTATTTTTTTTCGGATAACTATATTAATTTTTCGCATAGCACCATAACAGAAAAACTTCTGAGCCAGAGGCTTGTTCACTCCAATTTCTTCAAACCACACACAATTTGAGACTAGTCCGTTCATTACGATTGAAA